GGCTCGGGCGGGTGCCGGGAGGAAGAGGGGTGCCTGGGGGGGGAGCAGCTGGGCTGGCGGAGGGGCTGGCGGGCCGCACGGCACCAGCCCCCACCACGGCTCCATCGATGGACGGAGGACGAGGCCGGGCAGCGCGGGGGCGGCGGGGACCCCCGACGATGCTGCCGTAAGAGAGAGAGAGAAAGAGAGGAAAGAGAGAGAAAGAGAAAAAAAGAGAGAGGAAAGAGAGAGAGAAAGAGAGAGAGGAAAGAGTGAACGAGAAAGGGAGGAAACAGAAAGAGAGAGAGAGAGAGAGAGAGAGAGAGGAAAGAGAAAGAGAAAGAGAGAGGAAAGAGGGAGAGAGAAGAGAGAGAGGAAAGAGAGAGAAAGAAAAGAGAGAGGAAAGAAAGAGAAAGAGAGGAAAGATAATTTGGAGGTCGACCAGAAGGGAACCAGGTCTGATAAGGATGAAAGTTGAGTGAGGTTTTCCCCCTCGCCTCTCTCTCCGCCTCCCTTTGTGCAGCAGCGCCTCTGGCTGCTGCCTTCCCAGTCGCCGAGAAAGGGAAAAAAAAGCTGTGAGCGAGTTCCCCTTTCTGCATCGTTGCTGAAAGCTTTTTTTTTTTTAAACAACCGCTCGTTCAGAACTCCTCGGGGCTTGTTTGCACGAGCTTGTGGCAGATCAATAAATAAAGGGGTGGGGGAGCCAAACTGTCCAAGGCGTTTGCACCCTGAACGTGTGGACGCTGCTTTCATGACTTGCCACCACCACCCCCTCTCTTCCCGCCCTGCTCGGGCAATGCGCTGCTGCTGCTGCTGCTGCTGCTGCTGGCTGAGCTGAGCTGAGCTGCGGTGCCGGAGCCTCCCCCGCACCGCCCGGCCCACCTCCCTTGCCGTCGGAGGGCATCTGTGTGTGTCTCCAGACCTTACTGGACTACCATCCCCAGCAGCCCTAAAAAGCACTGTGGAAGAGTGGGGAATGCTGGGAGTTGCAGTTCATCACCATCTGGAAAAACATGAATCTCCAAAGATCAATCCTTCCTTCCTTCCTTCCTTCCTTCCTTCCTTCCATCCATCCATCCATCCATCCATCTCCTTCCCTTCCCCTTCAATCTCTCCTTGCTTGCTTGCTTCCTTTCCCCCTCAATCTCCTTCCTTCTCCATCTCCTTCCTTTCCCCTTCAATCTTCCTTCCTTCCTTCCTTCCTTCCTTCCATCTCCATCTCCATCCCTTCCCCTTCAATCTCTCTCTCTCCTTCCTTCC